TTTCACGTCCGCCGACTTGTGCCCGTCCCTTTTGCGGCCAATTGCGCGTCGCGTGCTCGCGGAATTACAATCGGCGTATATGCGCCTCGTCTACTAAGCTCGTTTCTCCGTTCTCTGCGTTCCGTACACCGGTTTCTGCGTTCCTCCTTCTAGCTCCGTCCCCGTTTCCCGCCCGTGGATGGAAAGGTCACTCACGCGTTTCCAACCAACGATTCAACGTGCCAACTAAATCTCCACCTTTCGTTTTATCGTTCACAAGATATACCCATCTCTTCTCTCAACAATTTAAAATTATTCCTTTTTTTAATATTATCGATATCGATCCGCCATCGAGAGATATTAAATCAAGATCGAAAAAGAAGGAAAAGGAAATCGCCAGCCAGCCGCCTTTAACCCAGAAAAGAGAGTGGAAGAGGAAGAAAAAGAAGAGGGGAGGGAAAGTGTCTGGCGGGCGAGAGGGAGGGAACCGTGGCACCAAAGTTATCCCGCAATATCCCGGGTGCTCCAGGTAGCGTGTCGGTGGCAGAGGGTGTTCGTCGGCGGATGCGCCGCTCCCGCGGGAGTCTGAGCCCGCGTCAGAGCTGGCCGGGGTTAAGTTCCCTCGGGAATCAGCTCGACTTCCCTTGTACCAGCCACCCAGCCAGGCCTGGCTACAGGAGAGCGGAGCCCCACCAGCCCTTCCCCAACGGCTGCTCTCTCGGCTGTCTGACTGGCTGTCACGAGTCCAAGACGTACGGCGGCTGCAACCCGGGGAGCAGAGATAGCAGTCGCTCCGGATAACCCGCAGGACGGTGTCTCTCCTTTATTCACGGCATATCGATTAATGACTGGAAACCTCCCCCCCCCTCCCCCCTTCGTAACCGTCCCTCTGCCTCCTGGAATCGACGTCTCGACGCCGGCCAGAGATATCGTTAGCTGGATTATCGTAATCGGGGGCCATTCACTTTTTTTTCTCACTTCCATCTTACTTTCCAATCAGATCGTCGTATGTGCCTGCGAATGTTGATCGAATTATTATTTTTCGAGTTATTTCCTCTTTTTTTTTGCAAGAGACGCAAGAGAAGAATTGTTTGGAAGAATTTACAAAGAAGAATGAAGAAAGAAGGAATTGTATATCAATAAAGGAGATAATTTTACGATAATTTTATAAAATTGGAGGGAGAGATTTGAGTAATTAAAGCTATAGGAGGAAAGAAATAATAGAAGGAATAGGAACGAGGAAATGTAGAAACTGAATGAAAACAAGTAAAATTTCAGATCCCATTTTCTCCGATTTCCGTCATTTCATTCGTGAATGTAAACTTTGGCGTACGACCGGTTTAATAACGATCTCGCTGTATCGTTGGGATTACTAAATAAAATAAGAACGAAAGGAGAATAGAATTAGTTCGAAAAAAGTATTAAGTTGCTTTTGGACGTTGATGGATTCGTGCAGTTAGAAATATGATGTTTAATTATTTGCAGGAGATTTGCAGAAAAAAAAGGGAAAGATTTTCAGATTTTTCATTAATAATTGGATCTGGTTCAGAATTTACAATTTGGGAAAGAAGAATTTTGCATATTATATCGCGCTCTAAAACATTTTTACGTACGAGTCTCCGCGTACGAGGTTTTGGTCTCAATATGCAGTTATCATCTTCGTGCATATAGATTGGCTTATAATAATACGTTTCTTTAATATTAATTCGGACACAATTTCTCATACTATCGAGTATACTTTCGCTGCATCGAATGAATACAAAATTTACTTCAACTTTAGACGTCTCTTTTATTGTTGCCTCGAAAATAATTCCACATAGTTTTAAACTCATTTCCTTTTTAACTGATAATTTTTATCTATCTCCAAACTTTTCAATCTCGACAAAAAACAATAATTTCGACCCATTCACTCTTCTAAAACTTTTCAAAAATCCCAATCACTCTTTATAGTCAGATACAATAATCCAAACTGTTCAATCTCGACAGAAGACAACAATTTCACTTATTCCATTCTTCTAAAATCAAAATGTCCCAATCGTACGCTCTTTATAGTCAGATAGACAATAAGCACAAAGCACATAGTTTTAACCATTTATTCTATCTATTTCCAAACAATAGAAGACAACAACATTTCAACTTTCAATCGATTCTACTCCTCTAAAAACCCTTTGAAAAAATTAAATCCGTCCCAATCTCTACCGTCAGATACAATAAGCAGAAAGGACAATTCCCAATTACCAAACCCAGGCCACGAACCAATATCTGTTCCTCGAAACCCAGCCCAACGAATTAAGCCCGCCTAACCCAACGGCTTAAACGGAAGCTGCAATTTCCCGGCCCATAGGGTTACCATCTTCGTCGTCGGATAAACGCGCGGAATACCAAAACGCCTGGCCTCCTCGTTTCTACGTACGCGTCTCTCCTACCAATTCGATATTCGTCGTAAATATCGTAAACAACGATTGGAACGTTGCAACGAGGTCACGATAATCGTAAAGGTGAAGGGATTGGTCCATCCTCCGTTTAACGTTAGATATAGGAGAAAATATCATCGATATCCAAGGCTCTCCCGTCTCCGGGAGGAGAAAAGGAAACGATGTAAGCCCTCGAAAATATCTTGGCTCTCCTTCTACCGTTCAACGTTGGAGGACAACGTTAAACGGATGTATTATTACGAGGCCACGTAGCCGCCTCGTATCGGGATAACTGCATATTGCGGCTTAACTCCGCACGTTGCGCTTTCGATAACGTTGCGGCTTGATACGGATACGTGTACGAGCGTAAAACTTCCCCCTCCTACCTACCTTCCTTTACGTATATTTTCGTTTACGATGATTGGATTTTGTGCTTTTTTGAAATAATTTCTCGGATATTTAATCGAGAAAATTAGAAATCAGACCAGTCGACTTCGAAATCGAATCGATTGATTCAAAGATTATTGAGAGATCGTCGATAGAGAACGAATCGTTTCGATCGATAATTAATTGTTTTAAACCCATCTCGTGATTTATTCTCTTGACAATTTAAAGATTAAACTTGTTCGAAAGAATGATTGTCGATCGACGAACAATCCAAGGTGAAGTCAAAAGATCGGTCAAAGAACAGTTGTAAGAAGGAGCAACAGTTGAACGTAATCGGGGCACAGAGAGTTTAAATCGGTAGAGAACAATTAGGGGAAGACAAGAAGGTGGAAATCGATGGAAAAGTCGCGAGAGTTGGCGATGATGGATGAAGCATTAACTCGCGGGTATCCTAGAACGGCACGAGAGCCGCTGTTCGACGGAGGCTGCTTGACAGCTGACAGGGTGGAGGGGTTCAATCCAAGGGTGGTTGGCGTGGCGCTGCCTTGGCTTGATGTCTTGTAGAATATTTAACACCATCCCTCGCGCTCGTTGTTTCACGTCTCCAGGCTAATGTTCCATCCATAGAGGAGACGATGTTCCTTCCTTCCTCCCGTAGCTCTTTCCAATAAAGTCGATGGACGTAGCAGCTTTCTTTCCTCGGCTCGAAGGCTTCATCAAAGTTTCCTCGATTATCATATTAGAGAAAAGAAAAAAAAAAAAAGGGAAGACCTCACTCACGACTCTTCCTCGCCCTCTCGCCTCCTTCTTCTGTGTCGTAACGATTTTATATTATAGGGAACGGTTTTTCGAACAGGGGAGGGTAACTTTGAAAAGGAAGTTTGACGAGATACGAAATGTTTCTCGTATCCTCAACTTAATTATTATCAAAGTCAGAAAAGTTTAGAAAGTTATTTAAATATCCCATCAGATTATTCGCGAAGAAATTCGCAATTGCCTCGAAAGAAAAAAAATATATTAACGCCAAAAATGTAGGAGGAATGTACGCGCAGAACGGATCGATGGTAAATTGGATCTGTATAGCGTAACAGGGCAGCAGATCAGCAAGTTGAGCTCGGCGAGGAGGACGGGCTGGTCGCCTGTATATCATCAAACACGTAACGACGAGCCGTGTTTTCAACATGAAATATACCCACCGACCGTACTGACGTGGATCCACGTATAGCGGTGCCATCCGTTTGTCACGTGGGACCACAAAATTAACTTAAAAAATTACACCCCTGTCCACGTGGCCAACAGGTCGTTTGTTATTTTGCATCCATTTTCTCCCTCTTTCGTCCGACTCTGTTCACCCTCCCTCCCTCTCTCTCCCTCAACTCCCTCGACCGACAGGATTTTCACAGGATAAACTTGCCACTTCGACCGATTGCCACTATTTTCGAAGGTGTCGAATGCGAATTTGTTCCTTCCCTTTCTTTTTCTCTCTTTTTCTTCTTTTCCCCCCCATCTTTTCGTTCCTGATTCTCCCTTCTTCCCTCCCTCTCTCTTTTTTTCTGAAATTGGCCGATCTCTGTTTTCACTCGAACGAGAATATTTGTTGCGTATATCCAGGCTTGTGTACGAGAGGATGGATAGGTATTTGGAATCGTTTGTGATGATGATCGTCGAGTGCGAGAAATTAAACGAACGGATGCCAGAGGGGGGTGGATAGAGATTAATAAGTTGATACGAAGAATGATTTGAAAGTTTCGTTTACAACACGTGGAAGCATTTTGAGGGATTAATTAAAGCTTAGTGGTACGAACTGGTTCCGTGGCGAAAGAGTTAAATATTTGTTTAGTTGCTCCTCGGTTATTTTACCTCCCTAGTTTACCTCGGAGTGTGTAAACTTATGGATCTATGAATATATATATATATATGTATATATGATTCTGGAGATAAATTTTATATACGAAAATTACAAAGTGAATTTTCATTGATTATATTTCAGAAGGAAGGAAAATTTAATATTTTTATTATAAACGAAAAATTACGAGAACTTTTTTGTTTCGCGCGACAAACTCATTCTCAGACTTTTCAAACTTGCGTTTTACAATACGGAATGAAACGGAGTTCGTTAAAGGCAAACTTTATTCGACGCACAAATCTTGTCCATTCGTCGTTGGACAGTCTGCAAAAAACCGTATTATTAATCGTTTCTCGCCGCTCTTACTTGGAATTCATATTCGTATACATACGTATCCTTACGGAATGCAATGTTCACGTGCACGAAAGAGAGAAGAATTACAATTTCGTCCCCGTTCTTTTCCCTTCCCTTCCACTTTCCTCCCTTCCCTCTCTTTCCTTTTTCCCTCGCAAATACAGATTTTATTCTTCGTGGCTGATATGCAAATGAAACGGAATTAATGGTTGCTTGTCTCTCCGCAGGAGACGAAGAGTGGGACGACGGGAACGAGCAGAATGTCCTGGAGGTAACCGAGCAGGATAATGAGGGAACGGGAATTAAGCGTGAGTGTTGCTAAATACTTTCTCGTCGTTGAACGAGTTTACGTTAAATCCAGATAGTTGAAAACGATATTACAATATTCTGCTTTTTCTTCTTCTTCTTTTTTTTTTTATATAAATCGTTCGTTTATCGCAGAGGACGAGGAGGAGGAAGAGGAGGAAGAGGAGCTGCAGAGAGCTTTCAGCCACCACTCGGAGGGTGAGTAGCAGTGATATCGAAGCAATTATTACTTTCTAATTCGATTATCTTGAGGACGATTCGAAGAGAAATAAAATTGAATACGATTCTATTTTTACAATTTTGTCATTAAACGGTTTAACGTTAGATTAGCACGATCGTTGAAACGATTGATATATATGTATATATATATTAAAAAATAGCAACGATAGATTTATTATTTATTCTTTTACGTAATACATACATAAATTCGATTATCTTATAAGAGGAGGATTCGAAGAGAAACAAAATTGAATATGATTCCATAATTTTGCTATTAAACGGTTGCATTAACACAATCGTTGAAACGATTGAATTGTACGATAAAAAAATGATAAATTCGTTATTTATTCCTTTACGTAGTGTCTATGATCGTTTATTAGAGATAAAAAAACGATTACGCTGAGTTAAAAAAAAAAGGAGGATAGATGTGGCGATAGTTTGAAACAAAAACTGCTCTCGATATTCGCTCAGTTTACGGGTTTAACCCAGTGAGAGGGAAGAATCGGTTTTCGCGAGCAGCTTCTTCCCCCCGTACGCGGCCCGAAGCACAGCAGGCAGACGACTATCGTTATGCAGATGTAACAATGGGCCAGGAATTGAGGGAGGCACGGTCGGTGCATTCTGCCGCATTCTGGTGCATTACTTTTATCAGTCCTCGCGGGACATTGGTTCGCGACGCAACAATGCGTTCAGACACGTCGTCATTGTTCGTAGTCGCCGTTCAAGAAAACCTTACCACCCACCTTAGACCCTATGAATATGGGATTCCCTTTGTCCCGAAGGATCCTTCGGTGTCGCGTGCTCGTTTCGATCGCTCGAAACTCCGTCCTACGACACGAGGAAACGAAGCGGAGGAATCGAAGCAATCAAGATCGGCCAATTTTTCAATTGTTGACGCGGGATCTCTATCTTGAAATGCTCGAGTTTCGTCCATCGATCTCGAATTTTCGAAATTTCTTCTCGAGAAGAGAAGGATAGAAAGAAATTTTGGAGGAATCGAAGAATTAGGATCGAATATTGTTAATAGGAATTGCGAATGTGTAGGATACTTTTTTAAAAATCGAACAACATTAAATTTCTTTTCGTAGAAGGGGCGTGATATGGGAGGAAGGAGAGTTTGAAGAAATCGAGGATAACGAGGAGTGTTAATTATTAATAGAACGAATTCGTGGATTTGTTCTCTTTTTTTTTTTTTTTACATTGGAGAAATAAAGGGGAAAGCGTGGAGATTTTGAAGAGATCGAAGAGGAAGAATTATTATTGAATTTCAGGTTTGAAAATGGCACGATTCGCGTATGCTGCCTTGCGCGTAATGGCATTAAGGATCGTGCAAGGGGCTGTTGCCAGTTCCTCCACGCACGTGGTGCATAGCATATGGGGTAGAGAATAAGTGCTGGCCGGGGCAATTCCTTTCAGAATGGTAATAGGGGCTCAGGTGGTAAAGGTGATCCGAGTGTGCTTATTATGTCGATATATCCTGTCCATAGTATAGCCGGGGAACAATAGTATCTTAACGATATAGACCCGGATTGTTTTCCCGATAAATCATTTTCCCTTTCCCTCTTTTTATTACATAGTTTGTTACAATGTTCGTATCGTGAGAACGAATGGGATATTAGGCGAAAAATTGTCCATTTGTAACGCTGAAACGTCGAAACTGCGCGATAAATTTCCATTACGCGTATTATATCGAGTTGCCCCGCTAAAATGTACGAATTCATTCTCTCCAACAATTGTTCCGTGGTATGATACTTTTTTTTTTTTTAAAAAACTCGTCATTCCTCAAGTCAATTTCCTTTTTAATTTTAATTACGAAATTTTAATGTTTTTTTTTTTAAGTAGCATATCGAGGAATTTCTTACTTTGTTAAATTCGAAATTTATTATTTCAGAACTGTATTGTTCCATGTGTGAGATGTTTCCATGTATCTTTCTAAGTTTTACCATTCGATAAATCGCTCCATCATTTCTAGTAACGCCATTAAAATTAACTAAAAAATCCGACCAACGAATCCAACAAATTTCCCTTTCCCCAAAAATCGAAGCAAACTGATCAGAATCTCCCCCCAAAAAACTTATCCCAATTTCCCAAGATCGATGCTCCATAAAACCACTAACCACTCAATCCGTTCCAATCCACCTTTACGCCCCTTCCATCTCGAATCAACGATTAATAAACGCAGGTATCTACCTTACTCGTGCCCTCCCATTCCTCCTCCCCCAGTAATGAGCAGCAATGGCGGATAGCTAGAGGTCCCCGTATTAAAAAGGAGCCGAGCCACGACGATGTTTTCACTCGAGTAGAAACGTCGACAGCCACGTCGAGAGAAAGAGGGAAAGAAATGGAACGAGAGACGTGGAGGGGAGGAGGAGGAGAGCCATCGAGGCATCTCCCTTGGGAGTCGGTGGCCTCCTCGGGGATACAACCTCGTTCCGAGCTCCTCCAAGCCGGTTTTACCTTGGAGTATAAAGCGGACGCAAGTACACTTGGCGAAAGGTAAAGCTGAAATAATAATCGGCTGGTGCAGGGTGGAACGGATAAAAGTCGGATCTCGCTTCTCCTCGGGGAGGAAGAGAGGCAGATCTGTTCTCGGAAAAGGAATCTTGCGAGTCGGTTGTTGGTGGCTCGTG